ACACACACACACACACACACACAGGGAAAGAAAAATCTTGCATCATAAAATTATTTTTTTGAGGTCAAATCTGACGGGAACGTTGTGAGCGTGACGATACCTTTTCAAAGAGATATTGTTTTAATGATGTTTAGGGACCCACACATCTGATTCACAGCCTCCATCCCAGCGGACACGCTTTGTTTTATCGTCACATCAAGTTAAAGTCATGTGCGCACTCTTGTCATAACACTGGTTGCTCACTCGTCGTCCGCCAGACGTTTATTTAACGCTCCCGTTGAGTTATTCCTCGCCAGCATTCCCCGCGGGGAAGCAGACGCACCTTGTTTTCTCCCCAGAGGCGACTACGGCCCGACAGCACGCTCTCCCCCCTTTGCATCGTCCCTCCACTGTTCTAGGGAACAACTTGACTTATTAGTCTGAGCGAGGCCCTCCTCCTCCTCCTCCTCCTCCTCCTCCTCCACCTCCTCCCCCTCCCCCTCCTCTGCTCTGCTCGTTTCCTCTCCTCCTCAAGTGGCCTTCAATGTCTGGTGAAGTGGTGTTTGGACAGGAAGCCAACCTGAGTAGTAAGATGATGGATGGACAACGTGCTGGGTCGACCCTGTCTGTCTGCTTCTAGTCTACCTGTCTGTTTACGTGTAGCCCCGCCCCAAAGGGTTCCCTGCATAATGCTTTATCATGGCGCGTTTCCACCGAGCGGTACGGTACGGGTCGGGTCTGTTAACCATGATTTGGCGAGCGTTTCCACCGCCAACAGTACCCTTACTTGATAGGCGTGGTGTATTCCAGGTGGTGGTGATGACGTCACTTGATAGACGTGGTAGACGTGGTACATGACGGAAAGTAGATTGACGTCATTCGATCGCGCGAAAACTGAAAGCTAACCGCAAACAACGACGGAGGACATCCAGCCGATCCTGTTCCTGCTTCTCCACATGTGGCTGTTTGTCACAAGGAGACGACACTCTTTGTTTGAGCAAAGGCTACATGCTGCAGGTGTGTTACGTGTGTTGTCTTCCCCCTTGCGGCACGCGCAAATGACGACACTCGTTCAACCAATCAACGCCCTGCAGTGAGTCTAGCTCCGCCCTTTAGTACCAAACCACTGTGCCAGGTGCCCCAACGGAAGGGAACCCAAAGAGTGATACGGTACGGTTCGGATTTTTGGTACCATTCTCAACTTTTGGCAGTGGAGACACAAATAAAAGGGTACCGACCCGACCCGTAGCGTACCGCTCGGTGGAAACGCGCCACTAGAGACCTGTCAATCACTGAACTTGTCTCACTGCCTCTGGCCAGGTCTCTCTGACGGGGCCTTCAGAACCAGGTTCCTTCTCGATCAACCCCAACGGAAGAAGGTCTGAACATTCAGTCTCACTCCAACTAGAACCTGAACCCATTCAGGAGCAGGTTCTGTTAGACTACCTGGTTCTGTTGGAGCGGCCAGAGGTCCTCCCGCCACTCTGCACGGTTTTGTTCTGGAAGGAAGTGTCTCCGCTCTCGTTGCGTTTGCGGCCGAGGGTGAACTCCAGCGTGTCGTTGACGCCGAGCGGCCCGTCCCGCTTCAGGACGCCGGTGTCAGCCTCCCGTCCCGCCTCCGGTCCCGCCTCCGACGAGAACAAACCCTCTCCCTCCGTCAGCAGCTGATTGGTCGAGATGTTGACGAGCAGCTCATCGGGACCGATCCGTCCGTCCAGCAGGACCCTCCAGATGAGGTTCGGGGAGTCCGGCCCCGTGTCCAGGGGCCCGCCAGCCGGAGCGGGGGCGGCGGTGCCGTCTGCGCGGCTGCCGTTTCCCTCTGAATGGATCAAAAGGGCAGAATTCATTCAGAGAACATGGACGTCTTATCCCAGAGGCTCTTTGGTGGCGTGGAACCAGTGGTCTGAAGAGAAGCTCCATAGCTCGAACGACAAAGACCTAGGACCTAGGACCTGAGGAGCGATGTGATCACCTCATAGAGACCTCATACAAACGGGGGGGAAGTCGAGGAAATGGAAGTTGGCGCTCTGCAGTGTGCAGCGCGACATCGGGCCTCCTCCATCTTCTCTCAGAGGCCGGGTGTAATGTGCCCCCCCCTCCCCCCCCATCCCCCCGCCGTCCGTCTGCCGGATGAGTTGAGCGCCGGCAGGAAGGCCATTACCGCTCATGTTTGTGATGCACTGTTTTAAAAAAAATAAAAAAATGGCAAATCCACGAAACTCAGAATGTTTCATCCGCTGCTGATCTGCTTTATGTGTCTGTGGAATGAATAATGCAGAGCTGCAAAGGGCCGTCACACACACACACACACACACACACACACACACAAGGAGATGTAAAATCTGACCTATTTGTCTGATCTACCAATGGGCCACTGATTTGTCTTTTCTTTATCCTCTCACACACATCCGTCTCTTTTTCCTTTATTCATCCGATCGGCTGCAATAACGAATCGGATCAAACTCGCGATATGATCACATGACAAGAAGATGTTTTTATTTCCAGCGCCAAAAGGTTGCTTCTCATTATCGTCCACTAACACGTTTCACTCTCCGACCCATTAAATTCCTGTTAGAATAAACTGTCCTCTTCACAGGAAACAGCTTGTCTCGGATCAGGAAAACATCTGCAAACATCACAGTTTGGTTTAAACAACTTCGTCATTGATTCATGAGGCCAATAAATCACCGTTGCTCTTCCTCACCGGTAAAGTTGGGGTCCTGGTCGCAGTCGATGGCCGCCGTCCCCTCGTACACCTCGTTGGTCTCTTGGCCCTTCTGCCCGTCGGCGCCTCCCCCCTCCGCCCGGCTCTCGGGGGCCGCCTGGTCGTAAGCGCTGCCGTTGGGGTGCGGCGGACCCCCAACCTCCACCGACACCTCCCCCGCCGAGGTGTCCGACCCGGTGTAGGCGGGAGGGGGCGGGACCGGTGGCAGGGAGTCCCGTAGGACGGTGTACTCGTAGGTGATGTACGGCGTGCGGCCGTTCTGGTTCCACACCTGAGCGACGGGGGGAGAGGTCGGGTCAGGTCGGGTTCGTCTGTGCAGGTTTTAGACAAAATGCGGTCTAAACTGTTCAGACCTGTGGACACCACGTCTGTTATCTCTCCAACCAGCTCACCTCACACTTTGTTTGTTGCCTTTAAAAACAATTCCTACAAGGGTCCCGTGTTTAACCGCCTCGACAATCCCAGCGGACCCCTGTGATGCAGCATCCTGCAAAGGTCCATCAAACCTGGGACATGGACGTTGTCAGAACCTCCACTGCACTGGTCTCAATCTACATTCACCCTGCAGACGCTCTGAAGAAGCTTGAACCTCCCTGCTTCAGCCTCCTGGGCTGCGTTCCACTAGCTTACAGTGGCTAACCGCTAACCCCCGCTAGCAGACATAGCGGACGAGGAAACAACAAGTCAGGTCAGAGAAGGACAGAGGTCCGGATCTAACTGCTGGCGTGACCCTGGAGGAAGAGTTCAGGTGACAGAGCCGGGTGGAGGACGGGTGGGGGGCGGTTAGGCGTACCAGGATATTGATGGCCTGGTCAATGGGGCCTTTGACGACGATGTACTCGATCCCGGTCTCGTACACGTCCATGGGCCGGCGGTACTTGAAGACGGCGCCCGCTGCGTGGAAGTTCTGGGGACTGTCCACTCTGTAGGCTCCGTTAAAGAAGAAGTTTCCTGCTTGGTCGGTGACAGCTGGGGGCAAAAGAGCGTCCGGCCTTTTTCTCTTTAAATTTAGTTTAAATTATTACCAAAGATCTCCTACTTCACTTGTTTTAGTGCACGTGTGTGTGTGTGTGTGTGTGTGTGTGTGTGTGTGTGTGTGTGTGTGTGTGTGTGTGTGTGTGTGTGTGTGTCTGTGTGTGTGTGTGTGTGTGGGAGGAGCAGGAGGGAGGAAGCTCTCACCCAGAACATCGGCCGACTTCTTCCTCTCGATGATCTGGATGTCCCATGATCCTTCAGGGATTTGTGTGATTAAAGAGTAACCTTGACGACAGGAAACAGGAAGTGGTCAGCACTACCTGGATTTAACCAGGAAGAGGATCCGGACCGATCTCGACGGCCGAGAATTATTTTCTAAATGTTAGTGTGTGCACGAGAGGTGGAGAAGGAGGCGTGGTTATCGTACGCGTGGACTCACCCGGACTGGTGGCGACGCGGCGGAAGTTGCCGGTGACTCTGCTGCAGCTGCTTCCGTCGCCCTGACAGACGCCACACTTATCCAAGGCGTTGGAGGAGAACAGCACTCCGTCACACCCGATCGGCTGAGCGGCAAAACAGGGAGCGGAGACGATGGGGAGAACGATGTCTCATCGCCGGGTGAGAGGGTAGAGATGAAGGATCTAGTAAAAGAAGCAGCTGGACTCACCTGGCACTCGCCGGCCACGCAGACGCCGCGGTAGCTGCTGTACTTGCAGGACGTGCCGTCCCGCGCCGTCTCCATCAGCTGCCTCTGGCCGTCGGTGGTGGTGCAGTGGAGGTCACAGGGGTTGCTGGAGATGTGGACGTAGTCGTCTGAGGAGGAACACGGCTAATCCGGTTACAAACAGCGCTCCTACCTACAGCCGTGGACATGAAATACCTGCACTCTGTGAACGGGTGTCAATCAGTGGCTTAAAGGCTGCTCCTGTTTGGGTGCGAGGCAGGACGAGGGGCACCGCCGTTGTGTTTAATGAGAGGGTGGAGGCGTACGCGTACCAGGATACAGAGGCTTCCACTGGTAGTTCCTCCCGTTGTAAAGCTGCGAGTTGAAGGACCAGCACTGCTCCTCCCTGAAGCTCCTCCCGGTGGCAGGACATTCCTGCAGGGCGGAGACAGCGCCGTCCGCCCGTTTTACAGCGCTACTGCTTATATGTGAGGACGCACGATTGTTCCTTAAGCGGCTTCATGCGGTCTGAGCTGTTTTAGTACAGATGAAGATTCACCGGCAGCCTGTTGACTCACTTCAGTGTTGCACAGGTGATATTTCTTGGCTGTCCCCGTGCAGGTCATGTTGTCTTTACCAGCCACAACCTTTTTCCTTTGGACAGAAAAACAAGCATTTGGAGAATTTACAGAATATTTATGAAAAATAAAAAAGAAACCTGTTGAGTTACGTTTGCATTATAGTATATTAATCTACAAAAGGACCTTTTGGCTGTAAAGGTCAGAACAATTATATTATATTCTCATTTTAGTTGCCATTAATGGTAATGTGATAATGTAATAATCATATCTAGATCTATAGCTCCATGTACACACACACACACACACACACACACACAGTATACCTGAGCGTGCTGGTGCATGTGCGTATCCATGCATTCCTATTACAGCCAGTTTAACTTTTAATTGTGTTTATGTGTTTGCACACACACTTGTTAACATTACGTTGTGAGGACATCAAGCTGGTCCCCACATCGTCAAACTTTAAAAACGTCTACTTTGCTCTCGTATTGTGAGCTGTGAGTGAGTATCGATGTTGACTGCCAGATGTTTTTTTAACAGACTGACCTCTGTTTGAGACAGTGTCTCTCCTGTGACATCACTCCGCCTCCACAGGCCCGAGTGCAGGCCGTCCACTTGGCCCACTCGCCCCACCAGTACGTGGTCACCTCAAGCTCCTCCTCCAGACTGTTGGACGCTACGCCGTCCTCCTGAAAGCACACACACACACACACACACACACACACGGGTGATTCATTGTGTTCGTAGCATTGATTGTACCTTCAGTGGTATAAAGATGCTGCTGTTTGCCGTTACATCTCAATCGGCCATCACTCAGTTTATAAAAACGTATCCGTGCTCTACTTTTACCTCTTGTCTGTTCATCTGTTCCCATTCCTGCTCTAACAAACACTGTGACTAATAAAGGACTATTGACAATCTGCCATAGAAAGGAAAGGAAATAGATGTGATGAAAGGTGAGAACATTCACTTAAGAATATACATATATAATATTTCAGTTCAGTTATTGATTCTTGTTTTGTCTTACTGCCTATTTATAGTACTTGTTTCTTTGGACAATGTCTCTCAGTTGCACTTTAACTTATGCTGCTGTAAATCTACTGTACTGTAGGAGTGTACTTTGTCGTAGTGCACGTTTTGGCCATCGGCCACAGTTACAGCTGTGGCCACACTTTGCGAGCTTCAGCAGAGCCCAGATGTGCACATGAGAGTCACAGGGAATGAGCGCCGTTGGGTTCCGAGGCTCCAAGGAGTGAAGGCTGGTGCACCAGCTGCATTGATTGGCTGCGTCGGTTCTTACGGACGGATCCATCTGGGATGTGAGCTCCTTGTGAAGGTGTGAGACAGAGCAGAGGGAGGACGCGAGACACCGGGAATACCAGACAGAGCGAACGAGGGAGAGAGAGAGGGAGGAGGCGATCGGTCGACTGATGGATCGGCTCGACGGCGACTCATCGCTGTCCTCGGATTGCTTTTTAAATTTGTCATTCACACTTTAAATGTTGTTTCTTTTCTCAGTTTTTTGAACTTGGAACGTTTGGTTTCACTTTCACTACAAATACTCCCGTTTGTGTTGGGAATCTTTAGACGCCGTGGGTCCAAACCGGAGCAGGACGTCGTGAGAATGCGGCTCAAGTTTGACGGTTCAGGTTGAATTAAATATGGAAGCAGCCTCTGGAGACACAAGAAGTGACATCACTGCCCCTGAATGACAGAGATAACACGCTATCGGGTAAATAACAGCCTACTTGAGTAGCTTCATGCTTGGAAAACAGTGTTTGAGTGACAGAACCACTTTTATCCAAAGCGACTTACAATAAGTAAGTAAGTGTTTCAACCCAGAGGGAACAGACCAGGACACCAAACCAAACTGCAGAGAGCTAAGTGTTTATTTTACCATCAGCATATAAAATATTTTTTATGCTAAAAGGTCGATTTCTGAATAATATTGAGATAATGTCTAGATGCATCCTTTTGATGTAGCAGCTGGTAAATGTGGACTTCAAAGCTCATCGTCAGCCATCGGTTGGTCATATTCCGTGTCGTGAATCACTGGCGGGGACGTCGCCGTGAGGAGACCAGGCTGCCCAACGGCGCCGACAGCCACGTCTCAGGACAGAGGACGAAAGTTTCAGTGGAGCGTTGTGTACCTGCAGGCGTCTAGCGGACGGGTTCCCCACCGACACCACCAGCGCCAGGAAGCCCAGCAGGACCAGGCCCGTCTCACCGCAGCGCTCCCACGACCACGCCGGCATCCTGTCAGGCAGAGACCGCGAGGACGTTCAGTGACACAAGCAAGGGCAAGAAACGCAACTCTGAGCTTTGCGTTTTAAGGATGTAGCCTTTTACTGCTACGGCGATGTGGTTACTAGGACATCGGCCAACGGCCCGAGGTCTTTGGTCGTTAATCTTCGAGTTTGTCATGTTGGCCGTTGGCATTTCGGTTTTTTAATTTCAAGCAAGCAAAAAGGTTGCAGTACAGAACTGAATACACACTGAAAGGGTTAAAGTTATTGGACGAAATCACAGAGCTCTCACAGACCGGACATGGTGGAGATAGAGACCTGTCAATCAGTGTGTCGCTAAACGGACCATCAGTCACTAAATGAGCATCACACTGTGTAGAAGAAGACTTGAAACTAGAGACTGAGACCATAAACTCCTGTTTACAATGTTTACTGAGGGAATAAATCAAGAGAGAAGTAGAGTCATTTCCTCATAGACGTCTATGGGAGCAGAGGAGTCGCCCCCTGCTGGTCACTACAGAGAAGTAGAGTCATTTCCTCATAGACGTCTATGGGAGCAGAGGAGTCGCCCCCTGCTGGTCACTACAGAGAAGTAGAGTCATTTCCTCATAGACGTCTATGGGAGCAGAGGAGTCGCCCCCTGCTGGTCACTACAGAGAAGTAGAGTCATTTCCTCATAGACGTCTATGAGAGCAGAGGAGTCGCCCCCTGCTGGTCACTACACAGAATGCAGCTTTGACTCATGAACCTCTGACTTCACTTTTCATACCTGGAGGTCTCTACCTTGTATTTCTGTCCAAATCTGCTTGTGTTTGTAATGAATGACAAACATCTGCCAGAAAGCAGAACCCTTTTACCACTCAGACCAGCATAGATGGACCGTTTTCACCAAACACACAGCAGCCAACGTGTTGATAAATGGAGGCACATTTTGGGTGTTCCTGATGGATGTACCCTGCCACGGGTCCTTAACAAAGCCTGAAGGGCATCCAGGGAAACGTCTGCTGAGTTCTGATGGCGGAAATGACCGACGTCCAGTGAGATGTGGACAAAAGCAGACTGACGAAACCAGAGGTGTTTCTCTAAATTGGAGCTTCTCAACTTCCAAACCCACAGAAGAGCCTGAAGTAGAATTTCTTGTGTTTTTTTTACCCCAGGAGAAGATATTTGCGGTTGTAATATTTCCTTTCCGACTCTTTAGTGAAATCCCTCGCCCTCAAGAACATCTGTGGTTGGTTACAAAGGGGAAACCTGAAGAGCGTCACCTTTTACCTTCGCCCTGATGTTCCTTATTGAAATGAGGTCCTGAAGCGTCTGGATGCAGACTGCCAACTAGCAACAAGACACATCCTTCTTTTTGGAGAAACACCCGGTGAAGCTAACGGAGCTCAGGGTCCCCGGCCGAGTGGGCAAAGCCGCCGGGCCGCAAACCTTTCAGACAAACCTTGTCTGGATCAGCAAAGGTACGAGGTGGGGGTCCACCGCTTACACACAGCTTCTAGGAAAGGGTTCATGGGACGTCCCGTGTCCTCGGGTCCAGTTTAGGCAGCCTTGTTAAAATAAGCGAGCAGCTCGTCTCGCCCTGTTTGCATGTCTGGATTTCTCTGGCACTAAATATTGGTGACAGGTGTCTTTAAGGCCGGCGCAGCAGCACCTGGACTTCATTATCCCCCCAGACACAGCTGGAGCCCGGCCAGCTGCCACACACACACACACACACTCAGACAGACACAGCTGCACATGTGTATACACTCAGCCGGTGGCGTGATTGAGCACACGCACACACGTTGGCCAGCCGTGTGCGTGTACAGGTATGTTCTTCTCGCAGTCTGTGTCCCACTGACTTACACTGAGTCCTGTTTCCTGTTGTCAGTCCCCTGGACGTCTGACCACCAACACGGCTCTTAATTGACGTCCCGTGTCCCTGTGAGGACGAGTAGAAGAAGAGTGTGAGAACCGTCCCAACGTGGTCTTCCTCCTTCCTCCTCGTCCTTCGCTGTCCTTTCCCAGGCGGCCGGCACGGAGGACAAAAGTAAACACAGCCCCCCTCACCCACCCTGAAGGCCCCCTGGGGCCCCTCGCCTCGCCGTCTTGTTTTTGTAGCGCTGGCAGCCTGAGCAGACAGACAGCCGTCTGTCCCCGGGGAGGAGTGAGACCGATCAGAGGAACCAGGAGGTTTATTATCCAATGCTGGAAGCAGCTGGAAACATCTCGCAGGTTTGACATGGTGGACTGATGAATCAGAAGCTTTTATACTTTCATTCGTTTGTCCCCCCCCAGCGGCGTCCCGGCGCCCTTTGTTACCCAATCACAGGCTCCGCTCAGACCAAACGTCCCGGGTGACAGTCCCCGGTTAAGATGTCCTCAATGAAAAAACAAAACAGCCAGCTGTTAATTCTAACTTTTATTTTTCCAGGCAAAGGCCCGCGACCCACCAGTTGAGAACCACTGCTCTAGAGGACCTCCCTCCCTTCAGATAAAGTCAAAGTCAAACGCGATAATGTGTCCCTGCGAGCGCCGGACCGAAGGACGCTGTGGTTTTTAGACCAGCGAGAAGGTTGGGAAGGTCCTCGGGGAGCAGGACCAGACCAACAGCTGACAAGGACGACGCAGACACACCAGCGGAGCCCATTGACTTCCATCAAGATAACGAATGAAAACTGCCCCCGGTCACAACGACAAACAATGAGTCAATCATCAAAAGGTTTGCCGTCATCTTTGCGTCAATCTACTGAACGATTGGTTGCGGCAACAAACAACAATAGAAACGTTGATCGGATGGATGCCGGCCCGTCGCTGTCGGTCTGCGGGGGGATGTAGGGGCGGGGGGGTTTGTGTGTGTGGGGGGGGGCGTATGTCTGAGAAACTGTCTTCTTCTTCCTCAGCGGCCGTCACCCCTCAGCTACTCATGCAAAGTGGAAAATGGATCTTGGCCTCTTGTATGAAAGAGAGAGAGAGCCAACAGACAGCTGGGCAGAAGGACAAAGGGATGGGGGGGGGGGGGGGGTAAGAGTGAGCCAGGCAGTCTGAGGAGTTGAGGAGAGGTTACTGGGGGGGGGGGTTCGGTGGGAGGAGGGTCGCACTTGACCTCCGACGTATTTATTGACTCGTTCTTTAAAGCTTCCCAGGAAACCCGACTCAGTTCCGTTAGATGTGGTCTCTGACCGGACCTCGTTAGTTAATCTACCCCCCCAAATACAGATTATCATGATGATCATTATCCATGAAACAGAATGCGTGTAAACAACGTTGAATCAGCGCTGAAGGCTTCCAGCGGGATGAAGGTCGTAGCCTCCCGTTTACTCTGATCGGGTGGTGGACGCATGATGGGAGCCGAGAGGATGCTGGATGGGTGAAACCAAACCAACGTTCACCAACCAAGTGCTCAGAATGAGATGCATCGGAGGTGCAGTTCAGCCCGTCTGGAGCATCAGAGCGAGGTGACCACTGCAGCGTCGGTCGGATAGGTTCAGATTCCCGTTTATTGGACCTGCTGAACCCTGACTGACCGCGGCTTGTGTCTAGGTCCGATTTTAGGTTCCTGCAATGCATGCTGGGAACCGACACCGTTTAAATGTCCACTCGTCCGTCCAGCTCTCAGTATGGAGACTGCTGCTTTGAACAGAACAGAAGGGTGGGATGAGGATCGGTCTGCATCACCTGCTGAGCGTCGGTTTGAACGCAAACGTTTAATCGGCCTCAAGCGGCTTCAATTTCGATGCCGAGACATTTCAACGGGAAGTCTCGTTATCTGAGGGACTCTTCATGCTCTTTATAACGTCACGGTTCCCCCCAAATGTAGTAAAAGGAAAGTTCTAAAAGCCCTTTGTTTTACTCGAGAGTCGAGCGCGTTTTTCATTCTGTAAATCTCAGTTTGGAGCCTCAAAAAAAAAACACAAGCAGCACTGGCAGCGACGTTAGCCTCCACCACACCACTGGAACACACACACACACACACACATCTCCCAGCAGCTGACAAGTTTCCAGAGAGACTTTGGCCTCTCCACACACACACACACGCCTGCATGCCTGCACAAAAACACACACACACACACACACACATTCCCCAAAGCAAGTCAGCATTATTTAGTGAATTTGTTTTGGTCTGGTGCAAAAAACAACTCTCATTGGCTCTAATGTACCTCGTAAATACACACACACACAGAGCTCATGCAAACCACAACACACACCATGAACACACACAACGGAGTACGCAAACTTACAGAAACTCTTTGACACACAACACACACACAGAGCGGAGGAGGTTTCAGATATTTACCCACTCACCTCGCCTGCAGCAGTCAAAGGGTTCTTCGTCTGCAGGGGATGCCGCTCACTGTGTGTGTGTGTGTGTGTGTGTGTGTGTGTGTGTGTGTGTGTGTGTGTGTGTGTGTGTGTGCGTTAGCAGGCCATTGACAGCGGTGGTGTGTTGTGGCGTCTCGGTGCTGCTGTCGCGGTGGAGTGAAGAGGGAGAGACGGACAGAGGGATGAAGGGAGAGGGGAAGGGAGGTAAGGTGTTCTCGCCCTGCATCCCTCTTCCTCCTCCTCCTCCTCCTCCTCCTCCTCCTCCCCCCCTCCGGGCAGCAGGAGCAGACGGAGAAGTGTGGGAGGATCACAGGAGCTCTCCTTTCTCTCTCTCTCTCTCTCCCCGTTTGTTTTATTAGCATCTCCACTCCTCCGCAGCACGAGTAAAGACCTCAGCTTCCTCCGTGTTCGCGCATGAATTCTGGAGGGAGGAACCTCCTTCTTTCTCACAGAGCTCTGCTCCCTAAGGAGGCGCCCTCAGCCTCCCATAACTCCATCACCGTTATCTCAGGTTGCAATTGTATTCAAAACTGCTGATTCCTAAATGTTTTCTTAAATACTTCTTGTACTTGTGTTGCAAGGGGGAGTACGGAACCCTTGTTATACCGCAAGAAGGGGACGTATTTTGCCCACTTCTAAACGACCAGGAATGGGAGATGTTCCCGCCTGGTACGCCGCAGATCAGCTAGAAAGAGGTATAGTCCGCACCAAGCCCAGCTCCAGAGACATAGACTCCCTTCTGGGTGTAACCAAAACCCATAAAGACTCGCAGCACCGAGTCGGCTACGACTGGCTCACCGAAAGGGCCAGAGCGAGGGATCGCTCAGTAGAGACATATTTCTCCCAACTACCAGACGTTGAGCAGGAAAGCGTGAGGAAACCTACGAAAACACACAAGGGCTCAAACATCAAAATTACAAAAAAGCCGAAGCAAAAGAAACTAAAGGGAAACAGGAGAAGGGGCCCATCGCCCCCGTCCTCCTCTTCCTCGTCATCCTCATCACCCTCCTCATCCTCCTCAGGCGACTCAGAAAGCTCATCTGAATCCGAAGAGGGCAACGTAACACATAGCCGACAAAAAGGGGATCAAAATAACTGGGAAAGGTCTTTTATGGGCAGAAAAGTGAAGAAGGTCAAAGACAAGCTAAGCAAAGAACGGCTCGAACACTTCCCAGATAACAAACCAAAAACAAACAGAACAAGAGTATATGATTGAAGTCGTAGAAGAAAGGGGATTAGCCCCAGAACAGCTGGATAGCACAACAGTCACCATGTGGCTGAGAGTAAAACTAGAGGCAAAAATAATCAAATACGGCGAGAGCGTCAAGGACTCAGAAACAGCTTTAGGGCTAGCCATGAGACTCCTCAGAGGGGACCCAAACTGTAACATAATCCACGAGGAGAAACTCTTAAACTTGCTGCCCGGTACCCAGAATATGGTGGTCGACTGGGAGGCCATAAGCACCAGAGAAAAGCGTAAACAGGTAACCACGTATCAACAACCCAATCAAAGAAGCGTTATGTCGCACTTCCACGCACATCCCGAGAAGACACCCAATCGCCCGAGTACCGAGTGGCACAAAATAGGGACACCGCGACCCGTTATGAGGACTCCACCAGAAACCTCAAGGGGCCCCAATGGGGCACCACCGAGAATGAACGCGGAGACTTGGAGCACATACAGTAGGGAAGGGAAAGGACGGCTCCGGCCGTATGCCTTGGGTCAGCAGACCAGAATTTGCAGCAATGACCAGAGAAGAGAGGGACAAATTTATGGCGAAAAAGAGAAAGTGGGAAGAGAAAAACCCGAGGCCAGCTTAGTTGCTCCGGCACCCATCAAAGAACTAATAAGGATAGGATTCATGGAGGGACAGTGGATAAAGGCTAATGTACCGCTAAAAACACCGACAGGTCAGACAAATAAAATATTTACCTGCGACACCGGAGCAAATATCTCGGTAACAAAGAAAGGCGAAGGGACTCCACTAGAAGGAGCAACAATAGAAGTACAGCTAATGGTCAAGTAAAAGACACATCTTTATTTCCGTACAACGGTATGGTAGCAATAGAAGGCAAAAACAGACTGTTGGGCATAAAAGACTTCTCGCGGGCCGAAACGAATAAAATGAACAACGAGCAGGATTTTCAATTGACGGGACATCCGTTAATTGGATGAAAGAATTGCAAAACGAAAAGTTCAAAAGTACAAAACTCTACTATAACAAAATTAGGTTGAAAGAAATCCTACAAAAAGGCCGATACTCGCAATTCAAAAATGATGTAGGATACGTGGAGGGTTTCGAATACAATATACAAGGGCTACCACCACAAAAAGAGAAACAGTACCCCATTGCCCCGGAGGCTGAAGCAGAGATAGAAAAAACCGTCAAAGAACTATGCGATCTATGGGTGTTAGAACAAATAGACAAAGTACCACACAGCCTCCCCATACAGACCGTATCTAAACCCGACGGTACGTACCGATTAGTACACAACCTTAGAGCATTAAACCGGGTGTCCCGACCCGATGACGCAGAAAGCATTAGACATGCCCAGAAGCACAAGTTTAAAACCTGTCTTGACTTAGCGAACGGATTGTGGTCAGTGCCAATCACAGAACAAAGTAGCAACAAAGCATGCTTCATGTTCAAGAGACAACTACCACAAGGTTATAAAAACTCACCAAATGTGTTTCAAACACTAGTAGAAAAATGCCTATGTATATATATGTTAACACATTCATATATATAATAATTAATAGTATTTAATCATATTTTCAAAAATTAATAAACTTTATCTACTTCCATTTTTTCAGACAGGGAACACAATGTTTCAGTTGTTTTTAGGACCCGGTGGTCGAATGTTCCCAGCAGAGGGCGTGTTTTCAGGGCTGGGCAGCAGGCCTCGGATGATCTGAGGGGGGGGGGGTTAAACTCCCCTTTTGCAACACTGCACCCTTTGTGTGGCTGCCCCGGAGCCCTTGAGCAGGTGCGACAGCTGAGAGGAGAGCAGAGGACGGCAACTGCTGCGCCTCAACCACCGTCCCGGGATGGGCGAGATGTCCTCTCGGGGACAACTGGGAGCAACAGGGTCAAATATGGCTCCACCAGAAACCGATGACGGCTAAACGCATGAAGCTCAAGAAGGTGTTTGATGCACATTCAAGGCTGCTTGGACTCCGCCAAGACTTCTAACAGCCAGTAGAGCAGGTTGGTCTCCTCCAGCACTCGTAGCCAATGTAGTAAATCATAGATATCCCACTCGCTTATTTTGTGTGTTGTCCACGTAATGGTGAAGGTGGAGCTATGAAGACCGCTAAATCACACACAGGACGGGAGGTGGACGGGTCCAACAAGCGGCGATTTGACAGCTTTCCTATTTTCCCTCAGCAGGATTCCATATTTTACTTCTAAGAGGAGCAACCGGCCATAAACATCCACACAGGAAGGGACAGATGAAGACAAACCGTCTCCAACCAGCATCGAGCGAACACGCCGTCTGAAGGAAGCTGGACTCAGCGACTCCACATGTTTTCCTCTCATCCAGTCGCTTTAGAGGCTGGAGGCAAAGGGTTCCAGGCGGCGACCTCCGGTCCTGAGGAGTCAAGCCGATACTGAAGCGTCTTAAGACCTGTATCCTGTGTGGTGACCAGCAGGGGGCGACTCCTCTGCTCCCATAGACGTCTATGAGGAAATGACTCTACTTCTCTGTAGTGACCAGCAGGGGGCGACTCCTCTGCTCCCATAGACGTCTATGAGGAAATGACTCTACTTCTCTGTAGTGACCAGCAGGGGGCGACTCCTCTGCTCCCATAGACGTCTATGAGGAAATGACTCTACTTCTCTGTAGTGACCAGCAGGGGGCGACTCCTCTGCTCCCATAGACGTCTATGAGGAAATGACTCTACTTCTCTGTAGTGACCAGCAGGGGGCGACTCCTCTGCTCCCATAGACGTCTATGAGGAAATGACTCTACTTCTCTGTAGTGACCAGCAGGGGGCAACTCCTCTGCTCCCATAGACGTCTATGAGGAAATGACTCTACTTCTCTGTAGTGACCAGCAGGGGGCAACTCCTCTGCTCCCATAGACGTCTATGAGGAAATGACTCTACTTCTCTGTAGTGACCAGCAGGGGGCAACTCCTCTGCTCCCATAGACGTCTATGAGGAAATGACTCTACTTCTGTGTAGTGACCAGCAGGGGGCGACTCCTCTGCTCCCATAGACGTCTATGAGGAAATGACTCTACTTCTGTGTAGTGACCAGCAGGGGGCGACTCCTCTGCTCCCATAGACGTCTATGAGGAAATGACTCTACTTCTCTGTAGTGACCAGCAGGGGGCAACTCCTCTGCTCCCATAGACGTCTATGAGGAAATGACTCTACTTCTCTGTAGTGACCAGCAGGGGGCAACTCCTCTGCTCCCATAGACGTCTATGAGGAAATGACTCTACTTCTGTGTAGTGACCAGCAGGGGGCGACTCCTCTGCTCCCATAGACGTCTATGAGGAAATGACTCTACTTCTGTGTAGTGACCAGCAGGGGGCGACTCCTCTGCTCCCATAGACGTCTATGAGGAAATGACTCTACTTCTCTGTAGTGACCAGCAGGGGACAACTCCTCTGCTCCCATAGACGTCTATGAGGAAATGACTCTACTTCTCTGTAGTGACCAGCAGGGGGCGACTCCTCTGCTCCCATAGACGTCTATGAGGAAATGACTCTACTTCTGTGTAGTGACCAGCAGGGGGCAACTCCTCTGCTCCCATAGACGTCTATGAGGAAATGACTCTACTTCTCTGTAGTGACCAGCAGGGGGCGACTCCTCTGCTCCCATAGACGTCTATGAGGAAATGACTCTACTTCTGTGTAGTGACCAGCAGGGGGCGCAGGGAGTTTATGTCTCAGTTTCTAGTTTCAAGTCTTGTTCACCACAACGTGATGTTTATTTAGTGAACTATGGTGCATTTAGAGTCAAACAGACCATAAAGCAGGGGATGCTTTAGGGCGGGGCTACACGCTGATTGACAGATGCCTACCGTGTCTCTGTCCACATGTCCTTTCGTTTTGCGCTGGCATAAAGCCACGAAATGAATGAATGAATGAATATTAAATCATGATGGGAAGCATCAATAACCTCAAAGCGGCAGATCGTCACAACGGCCGCTTCTTCTCATACACGGTTAATGGTTCCATCTCCTACTGGGAGCTCAGGACGCTACTTCCTGTCCCAGCCCTGAACGTTGACATTGTACAACAACAGGACGGGTGTCATGGTCTCAAACTCAGCTCCGTCCTCCTGAGACGGACCCTCAAACAGTCACTGTGCTCACTAGTTACACGCCGGCTGTAAAAGGCTTGTGGACATGCTGCCGTGGGGCATGCCAGCCCTGCCCGGCGCCCCTCCCATGATGCACTGGTATGCAAACAGCTGCCCGGCCATGAGTCCTTTGGGAGGGGGAGGGGGAGAGGGGGGGTCATTTAAACTTTAAAGGGCCAAACTGGACCACTGGGTGTGTCCGTCCTGCGTGGCATCCATTCAACCGCTAGACTCACTCGCTCACAACTCAGGGACCCCGAGGAGCCCTCGTCTCCCCCGACGGGACGTTTCCCCCCCCCGCTGGCCGCCACGCTCTGCGACCGTCCCGCCGCCGGCCATGGGAGCGTTCATTGCCAAGATGCTGCTGCCGACAGTCAGCAGCTTGGTGTTCCTGCCCACGGCCAGCGTGGCCGCCAAGAGGGGCTTCCACATGGAGGCCATGGTCTACTTCTTCACCACGTTCTTCACCGCGGTGAGCCCCTGCCTCCGTCTTCAGCGGGCGGAAACCTGCGCGAGGAAGTCGGGGGGAGCTGAGTAGTTTTTAAAAGTGCACATGACGTTGTTTATTCGCTGTTTGACTTGCCAGTGTGATGTTTAATTAATGCAAGTGGGAAGAAATAATCCATACGTGAGAGATTTCTGTTTGGGTTTGTCCTCAAAAAACCTGATTATTCTTCATTGTTACGAAACAATAGTTTCTACTTGTTTGATCCGTGACACACGGAGCCTGTTGTGGTCAAACAAACCTATAACTCTAAATCTGTAAATATTCATCAAACGTCTTTTCTGGTACATTTTTGATTGAATCTTTTAAGGATTTTTTTCTTTTAAAATGATAAATAAGCCTTTTTTTTTATCGTTCAACCTTCATTTAGACGTAAAATGAGTCAGCAGGTCTGATTCAAAAATTCACAGATGAGAAATTCAACTTATTAAGAGTTTTTCTGAAGCGATTTAGTCGGTGTTGCCTGATCGTTGGTTGTGGTCCGCTGGACTCTCTGGTGTCCCCGTAGATCTACCACGCGTGTGACGGACCCGGACTCTCCGTCCTGTGCTTCATGAGGTACGACGTCCTGGAGTACTTCAGCGTGTACGGCGCGGCGCTGTCCATGTGGGTCACGCTGATAGGTGAGACCCGCCGGGACACACGACCGTCTTCAACCCGTCTCTCGCTTTTCTGGGTGTAAATTCCAGCTTCCGAAAGCAGTCTGTTGCCACTCGAACCACCAGACGTCCCGGACCGGCCGAACGCAGCAGTTGTTGGTGACACATGTTGTGTGTTTGAGTTCAGCAAGCACGTGCGCGGCCACACACACACACACACACACACACAGCTGTTAGTATTTACACACCTCAGTGCCGAGGGCCTCCGGTCGGAGCTTCAATCGGGCCCAGATCCACTCTTGTTAATGTTCATGTGTTTGTTTGTCAAACTCAATTCCAATATTGTAAATGTTCATTTTGAAACGTGCCAGTTCTCTACCAAACGTGTGTGCTCGTGGTTCTCAGCGCTGGGCGACTTCGATGAGCCCCAGCGCTCCAGCGTCACCATGTTCGGCGTGCTGACCATCGCGGTGAGGATCTACCAGGACCGCTGGGGCTACGGGGTCTACTCGGGACCCATCGGGTCCGCCGTCTTCATCGTCACGGTCAAATGGGTGAGTCGCCTGGA